TATATATATATACATAGACCTATATAAAATTTTTTTTAGTGGTCAATGGACCTTATTTTATTTATTGATATGTGGTGCTGAGAATTGAACCCAGTGCCTCATACATGCTAGGTAAGCGCTCTGCCACTGAGCCACAATCCCAGCCCTAGAGTTGTTAATATGATAAATGGGCTATGATAAAATATCCCACCCATTTCAGCCCACTTACAAAACAAAGAATTTATTTCAATTTTCAAAAATTTCACATTCTAAAGAGAAATCACTCATAATCCCACTCCAATAAAAATTCTCAGGTTAGGGCTGGGATGTAGCTCAGTTGTATAGCACTCATCTGGCATGTACATGGTCCTGGGTTTGATACCCAGAATCACAAGAACAAAAAAGAAAAGAAGCTCGTTATGTTTTGGACTATTTTAGTAAAACTTATTTAAGATTTAAGATTATTTTAATAGTAGATTACCAACTAACCAAAAAAAATTCTGTAAAACAAAATTATCATACTACGTATGTGTAACAGCAATGTCACAAATTGACTAAAGCAACTACTGAAGCATAGAAAAAACTGGGGAGAATAAAAGTTCGGAAGCACTGAGAAATAAAATGTCAACTGTATCCTTGTGGCTCTTGATGACCACAAACCTCACAGAACACACCTGTGAGTGCTCTCAGCTTGACACAGCAGGCAATATAGTCATCGAAGGTGATCTTTCCACTGGTGCTGTATCGTTTTGCAATTGAATTCACAGTTTGGGGATTCAACCTAAATCCTGAAAGGCAGAAAAGTCATCCATTAAAAGTTTGAAAAAGAAAAACCACTGAAAAATAATCGAGCACAATTTTTAAGACTGTGGACTTTATTTATGAACACACACAATTTCTAAGAAAATAGAAACGATCTTCAAATAGCACTTACTATTAGAGAAAAAACAAAAAAACCCCACTCTACCTACCAGTGAACAGAGAGTTCCAGTTAGTCATACACACCCATGGTTGTCAGCGCCTTCTGCAGTTCTTGAGGATCCACAGTTCCACTCCGATCACTGTCAAAACTGATGAAGTGTTGTCTCCAGCCATTCAGTACAGACCAGAGTTCTTTAAACTCATTGAACCCCATTGTGCCAGACCTGTCTCTCTGAACTGTAATCAAGGATCAGAGCTTCTTTATTTTGTAACATTTTCTACTTTGATGCCTCCTTGGATTCTTAAACAACTGACATTCTGTTTACTAAACTTCCTTCCCATTTTTACACCAAACCATATCCTAAAAGCCAGTTATTTCACCAAGCTTTTCAGGGATTGTCACTTGGTGTTTTAATTCTGTGATAAATTATTTCAGGAAGGAAATTTCTTGTCAAGAAACAATACTCTAGAAAACCATCGAGGTAAAGGATACATCCAGCATTGAAACCATAAGCCGACAGGTCTCCAGGTTAAAAGCTGTTAAATCAAGAAAAGTACAGACATATAAACACAATTTCAAAAGTTCACATTACATTAGCTATCTTCAGATTAACTAGCGATGTGATTATTTGCTTTCTTTATGCTACTCAGTTTATGTGGAACTAAACTATATTCTAAATAGACTTTTCCAGATAAAAGGATTTCTTCTTCTAGAATACAAATTTGACTTTAACAATCTTAAAACAAATATTTTTAAAAAGTACTATATAGTACTGTTAAACTTTCTTGCCTTTAAAACTATAATATAGTGAGTCCAATTAGCCATACGGGACCAAAATTATTATATCCACCATAGTTGTGTGGGAAGGCAGAATGGCTTTGTTCATAAGTTACCATATGTAATTTGCTCATAAATTACCATAAATAGCCCGTTTTACTATTTTTATGTTTAATCATTTGTTTTTCTTTCTTTTTTATTTAATGTTAGACACTGAGCAGTAACCTCTTACGTAAAATAATCTATGACCTCTTTTCATATATAGTAAGCTTATAAATGAAACCAAGTAAATGTGCTTGTTAAAACTGTTTTGAGTAAGAGTACTCTGCAGTGTCAAGTGGGAAAAGCTAGTATAAATTCTGCAAGTTTAAGATGCACACAGAACTAACCTTTTCCATAGCTTTTGCTAGTTTCTTTTATTTCCTCTACCCAAATGGAAATTAGAACACAATTGGGCTAACTTATTATTACCATCTCCAAGCAGTACAAATGATAGTTTTCTGTGTTTAATGAATTATTGTATTTGGCATATTCTCTCCCAGAAATAAAAGACTAGCAACTATTTCTATCTTGGTATTCAATATTCATTTGATTGACATACAATTTTCTTAAGAAGAAAGAATGTGTCAACACTTTCTACATTTTTTGGAAGGATCTTATGGATTCTTCATTCTGACTTTTGAATTATGTAGAGGTATAAAGTCCCTTGAGTCTAGAGCAGTGATTCTCAGCTCTGGTGCCTATAAGAATCACCTGGAAAATTTAAACAATCCTGAACATGGGCTGCATCACTGAGTTCCAGTGTGTTTTAGAGCTTCTCAGAGGATTCCAGTGGGCAGTCAAGGTTGAGACCATACTCTACTCAAGTGTGATTCCTGGACCAGCCATATTAATAACACTTGGGATCTTGTTGGAATTGCAGAATCTCTATGTACAGATATGATGCATTAATAAAAACAAAAAGTGTGGGGAAAAAAGGAATTGCAGAATCTCAACCCTTACCCAATAAAATACAATCAATAAAATCAGACTCTGAATTTAAACAAGATCCTCAGTGAGATATATTCACATTAAAGCAGCTGGTCCAACCTAGACCAATAGCGCATGGAAACTTGTTAAAAGTGACAACCTGGACCCATATCACGTGGAAACTTGTTGAAGTGATGTTCTTACATCTTACCCTAGACCTCCTGAAACAACATCTAGGGTGGGGCCCAGCAATCTGATTTTCTGTGATCTTTCCAGAAGATGCTGCTGCTGCTAAAGTCTAAAAACCACTGCTCCAGATGGCTTGACAACCACAGGACAGAGGTCACCATGTCTGGCTTACATGGAGATTTCCGAGGGGCTATGAGACAGCTTCTCTGCTTTCCAGTTCCATGAATGGTAGGTACCACCATCTACTCAAAGTTCACCCAAGACAGACACCTGGGAGTGTCCTCCATTCTCTTTTCTAAAATTCAATCACCTTCTACATAGTTCAGGATCCATTTTCAGTTTCATCGTCACTTCCTGGGTTTAGTTAGCATTTCTGTAACCTATATGACTCCATGGAGACTCTATCATGCACCCCGACTCTGTTTAACTGAACCACTGTCTCCCGGTTTAGTCTTTACCTTATAACCAGGATGCCATGTGCTTTCCTATATAAGACCCTGTATGTATATTCTGCTGTCATGGTAAAGGCCAATTGCCTTACCTGACTTGTAAGTAAGGTCATGCACGTGTGTTCCCAGTTCAGCTAGTCTTATCTTCATCAATTCCCAGACACTAGGCTTAGGGAGATTTTTGATTCCTTCCCTGAATGATGAGCTCTCTGGGTCTTTCATTATGTACTGTTCTGTCTGCCTAGGGCAGTCTCCCCACCTCACTCACTTATTGGTCAGCTTCATTTCAGCTGTACTGTCACTTCTCAGTTTAGATACTAATTCTGCAGGGAAAACTTTCCTGCCTCCTGACTGAAGTACCATCTTATAACTTCCCTTATCTAGACAAGATGACTCTGGGTATGCCTAGAACAGTTATAGTCACTTTTAAACTACTTCAGAAGGGGGCTGTGGGTCCTGATTGGCATATGCCTTCCACCCACCTGTCCACTCACTTGGTTCTGTTCTTTTTGGTTGGAAGCTGGGCTTAAAAGATTGATGTACAATTTCTGTGTTAAAAAACCACCTCGCAAGTAGGGTGATTTATTACAGGCCAGCAGAAGACATTAAATAAATCAACTAAATCAGAAGGTCCTCATGTTTCACAAAAGGTCCTCTATAATGCTCTGATTTAAGGCCATCATTACATGGGGTTTTCTCAAATAAAATTCTTAAAAGGACAGCTAAGAATATATCATCTACTTTGTTAGATTTTAAAACCTGCTGCACCTCTTCTATTACAAGTGTATAGAATAATAGTTTATGAATGACACTACCTCATATTGTTAAACCCTGCTGTTATAGGATAAGATCTACCCATGGAGCCAAGTGATCTTAGGGTTTTGTGACCACTGTTTGTTGCAATCTTGGCTGAAGAATTTCAAATGAGTCATATATAGTAGCAGGTAGGAGTTTATCAGAAAGAAAGGAAAGGGGGAAAAGGAATACTCTCATGGTAAAGAGTGGATTCTCTCAAAGAGGAGAGGGATATCCTGCTTTTCCAGTCCTCCAGTTTTATTGAGAGTCCTAGGGAAGTTTCTAGAGAGTCCTGCCCTGGTCTACCTTTAGATTTTTAACCGACAGCAAAATTGCCTCAGACTTCCATGTCCCCACTACACATAATGTTATCCCATAGATGAGGAATTTTACTATTATAACGACAGGCTAAATATCCAAAGGCAACTCTGGGTCATCTTGGTCCTTGCTGACTGGTTCTAATTGGAACCTGTTCTTATAGATCTTGTGGTTGGGGCTTTGCTTCTAATTGTCCTGTCTTCCTGAGGCCTGGAATCTGGTCTGCATAAAGGTCACTAAAGGTCCCCCTTCAGGGTTACCTGTTTTTTTCTTATTGGCAGGGAGGCACCTTTGGGCTTCCATTTTTCCTGAAGATAACAGGTTATTTACTGAGGAATGTGACATATTCTACTGACTTAAACCAAGAGGAGGCCAGAGTGGCCACAGATAAATAACTTTTTAAAAGAAGAGGGTCAGCACAGTAGGCCCAGTGTATATAATTCTCCCCTTAAACCACTGTTGCCATAGCTCATGTCTGTCTGCTGTCACTGCTATGAGACCTGCCTTGTTCACCAGCTTTACTACTTGAAGTTAACAATTAACCATTTAAATGTATTGCCTACAACAGTAAAAAAGGAAAAAACAGGCAAAAAAAAAAAACAATTAATCTAGAAAGTGCTTCTTTTGTTTAGGACCAGATTAAAGGACAGAAATTTAAAAAGTTCTTTTGTATTAATCCCCCACCTAGGAAATAGTAGGTCATATAAAAGAAGAAACACTAACAATAAAAACATAAGTAGTTCAAAGAGAACCATTTAGTAAATATGTCATGTCAAAGAGTCAAAAATGCCACTATAAATCTTCAGGTGTGAATTCTGGTTTTGAGTATTTTTAATTCATAGCTTACCCTTACTGAAATCAAGCCCCTTATGATACTAAAAACAATGAAGCCAAGGCTTCATTTTGATGTTCTGTCTCAATTACCAACTGGAAAAAAAGTTGGCAGGTATTGGACTTGAACTAAGACACTATAATCTATCCTAGAAATTGGTCATGGTCAAGACTGGATTTGAAAATTAAGTACACAGTACGTATGCAGGATGATGAGAAGCCTGGTCAGGATGCAGCATCTCTGCAGTATTTCTCCATCTACTACTTGTAGCAAAGACCTCAAAAGGCAGGAAATGGAGGGAAAAACAAAATTACAGGGCAGCAAAGTCAGTCTTTGAGGAACTAAGAAGGGAGAGAAGAATGACTAGTTAAGGAGTTCAGAAGTAAAAAGGGTACTTTCCACTTGGCCTGAATACATTTTCTGAAACAAAAGAGGAAAGACCCCTGGGATATCACATAAACGTTCATGTGGCCAACAGCCTGTCCAGGGCTCAGAGACCAGGAATGCAGGACTAGCCACTAAAAACTCTAAGTGCCATCAGGCATAAACAAAGTAAGCTCTTGGCAAATAGTCAGCCATGACTATTAGCTCCTACCATTAATAATACCTGACCCAGCAGATTTCATTTCAGTACCTCAACTTGTCCTCTTGGCCACCCAAATTGTCTCACTAGTTTGAATGGTTCCAAACCCACTAACCTGGTAGGTAGAATAGAATGACTTATTTAACTGTTTCCAAATCAACATTTAGAAATAATAGTCGTAAGTTAGCTTTTGCAATTCTAAGCTTGGTTGAATCAGGACAGCTCAGTTTCCTTAAAGGCTATAATGTCATGTAATAGCTAATGTATAAAGAACAAGAGGACTTTAAGAGAAACTTTGGAACTTGTCAACTTACGTTTATATCCTCCAGCAATGCCCGATTGTGTCAGACATCTCTGCAATTCATCAGCATCTATTTGCCCATCCTTTTATGAAAAACAGGAAGAGGGATCACAGTTGTAATTTGTATTTTCAAGTTATTTGTTTACCCTCAATATTCAATGCAGCAAAAATAACAAAGAAAAATGAGTATTATCATGCCCCTCTTCTTTTTTAATAAAAAGAATGTCTTCCAAAAGTGGGCAATCTTTTCCTCATCCTAATTCCAAACATAATTTAATGACGAAAGAGAGCTTGTGTTCGCAACTTTTGTTCTCTCAGTCAGAGCTAGGAAATTGCCCAAAGTAAGCATTTTAAAATAAAATGATTTAAGGAGTTGTTTAAAAATTTTTATTTTCTTTTTAGGGGGAAAGAGCAGGGTACACAGCAGACATCAGTAAATAAAAGGCCTGATTCAAACAGAAAGAGACTCTTTGATCACCTTATAAGTTAGTGATTTTTTTTTTTTTTTTTTTTTTTTTGTAAAAGAGCACAATTAGACCTAGAAAATATAAGTTAGGCTCCCGGTTACCTGCTCACTGACTATACTAGGTCAGAACTAGAGATATGTGTAACTTCTAGGGATTTTAAAATAGAATATTTAAATCCTCAAGTTTTGAGTATAATAGGTTACAAATAAGGAGCAAGAGTAATAATTTGATGATGAATATGCTGAATACAGGCCAGGGCTGTTGAAAGCTAAGCAGATAGGGTCACTTACACACTGGAGGCTCTAGCAATCTAAGAATGCTAGTCTTGAGGCATGCCCTGTCTTGTGGTTTCAAAGATACAGATCAATAAAAGATTAAGCAGATACTCAAGAGGAAAGTCTTGCAGTTTTAGACTCAATTTTCCATTCAAGTTCTCAAAGCTGTATTTCTTAGAGTGTTACTTTAAAAGGTGATCCATAATATGCTATAGCATTTTTTCATATTATGATTTTGCTATTTCTAGCTTTTTACCAAAACAAGATTAAGTTGAATTCATAAGAATAAACAGCCCCTCTGGGTGTGTCTGAGTTACACAACAGTGTATTTACTATATTCAGTGACCCTGGAAGCTAGGTAAGTGTCTTCCCTTGGGGTAACCCAGCAGCTGTCATACAACTTGGGAATGCAGAGAAGTAGATCTTGGGGAGTTGACCTGAATTTTTTCTCTGGGTCAATAGGGCACAACACCTAATAAGGATGTGGAAGAGCTGACCTAGTAACAGCATTTGCATCAGAGAGAAAGAAAACTGCTCACAGGATTAACTTCCTGATAGGGAGAGTAGTAGTTTCTTATTTAGAAGCTTATGGGTTTTTACCATACATACCTATTTCCTAAGGATAGGTAAAAATTAACAATCAAATTCAACAGAAACTATTCACTAGAATCTGGCTACATAATTACTAATACATGTCTTTAAGTTGTACAGACCAAGGTTTATGTACATCAGATCTTGAATTTCTTCTCTTGAAACCACCCTGGACTCACAACTCAGTTCTAAAGACATTTTCTACCTTACAGATCTTCAAGTATACTTAGAATCCCTACTCTGTTCAGTCTTACCCTCATTCAGTCACATGCTTATTTTCCAATTCAGCTAACTTAATTTAGTACAGATACTATTTTGTCTTAATTTGCTCTGAATATTCAGAATGAAGAACTAAAATAAGAAGCTAGAATCCCCCTACTCAAAGAGGCTGAGGTAGGGATAGCAAGTTTGAGGCCAGCCTGGGCAATTCAGTCAGACCCTGTCCCAAAATAAAAAAGGCTGGAGATATAATTCAGTCACAGAACCCCTGGGTTCAATTCCCAGTACTACAAACAAACAGCTGTCTTTCTTTCTATCTTCCTTTATACAGGCAAAAGAGATTCATTTCCAGGGCAAAGTTCATTTTTGTGTCACTATATCAAAAGGTCACACAAATGTGAATCTGACAGTTTTTTAATATTAAAAGGAAAAGCTAACCTGTCCAGCAACGGCAGCGAAGTAACCATACAGTGGGTCCTGAGTTTGTCCTGGAAACGTAGGCCCTCCAGGAGCCCCTCCATACTGTGCAAAAGGAAACACAAACGCATCATTCCGCTGAATCAAGTGGTATTCTTTCACCACAGAGAGCTTTTGTGCAAAGCCAGGCAACTGTGTGCTTGCCCTTCACATGACTTAGCTCCCCCCTCTAACCAGCAATCACCCCACCTCTTTTTTCCACTCTCACCCTTTTATAACTTAAGGACTGGTGACTTGGACCCAAACTGGTTTTCATGAAAGTGATAGCCTGTATATGTAAGTCACTTTAAAAAGCCCTTTTAAACTGCAGGTTACAGCGATGAATATAACCTAGGCAAGGGCAGAGCTCCAATTGTCTTCCTTGTTTATATAGCTTTTATGGTGTTTTAAAAGTGTTTTAAGTACTAGGTATGGCTGGAGTTGGTACAATGCTGAGACAGGTGTGGCCTAGGGAAGAGTTCGGGACAGGTTGTCTCAGGCAGGGCAACAGTTTCAGAAGGAGCTCCCTAGACGATGCGCTTCCTTCATGCCTGGCCAGGTAGACTTCCTCCAGGACTATTATGCTCACAAATTTTCCCTGACCTCCGCCCTCCTGCCATCCTCCCTCACACTTTCTTTTAAAGGGATGAAGACAGATCTCAGGACCATTCTAGATCAAAATGGCTGTAGTTGCTTTGGGGGAAAACCGAGAGGGAGGAAGAGGAAGCCAACACCCCACTTTCACAATTTCATGCCGCGTATCCGAGAGTCACAGGATGGGCTTCTTGGATCCCATTTCACTCGTGCCTTGGTCCCACGGGGCCACCCAGGAAAGGGACCGGGGGATGGATGAAGAGAGAGGCAGAACCGCAGGGGCCCGAGACTAGGCGGGGAGCGCACAGGGAGAAGTCAGGGCAGCCGTCCCGGGATCCGCGCGGCAGCGCCCCCTCCCCGCGGGCCGCAGCGCCTCCAAGAACGGCCTGTCGGCGTCCTCGGAGCCCCAGGCTCGCGCTGGGGCAAGCAGCACTTACCCCACCTGGGTAGTACCCGCCGCCGGCACCAGGATGCCCCGGGTACGCCATGGTGCAGACTGCGCCGCCGCCCAGTGCGCCTTGCCTCCCCGCCCCGCGCGCGGGGCCGCCCCCGAGCGCACCACGCCGGGCAGCGGGGGACGCGCGCTGCAGCCACCTCGGTCTCCCGGGTGCTCCTCGTCGCGGGCTCTACCTGACTAGCGCGCTTCCAATTCTTTGCCGCTTTCACGTCAAGGCTATGCATAATTGAAGGTCCAGTGGTGACCTAAGATCTGCGATGAAATTCACACGTGGGACTTTCTTCCCTTCGAAACTAATGGCACATTCCAACACCACTGCACCGCCCGGGGAATTCAGTTTTTCCCCCTTCCTACTTGGCTATTTTCTGGCACATTTGTTATTTTAAATAACGTTATTGGCCAGGGCAGACCCGCTATGAGCAACGTTATGGGGAAGGGCCTGAATGCATTAGAGCAACTTTATGGTGCCGGCGGGTGAAGGGACGTTGAAAGATTAAGGAGGCGCCTTTGGAAAACAGGAATAAACTTCTGGAACTGTGTGTGCAAGGAGGCACTTGGCTTGCGTTTGTACAAGTCGTTGAACAACAATGGCGTTTTTCCCTGTCATGGGGATAAATCATCACCGGGTTACGCTGGGCGTAGCTCAGATGCTAACTAGGGAAGACTGGAGTATTTTCTGGGGAGAGTAGCCTCACCCACATCTTTCCTAGGAAAATTAAATGTTTTCATGCAGTAAATGAATTATCTGGATGATTCTAGTAAAACCAATCCCTTTTCCCATAACTGCTGAGCTACATTTTATACAAGAAAAGTTTAGAGCAAACTAAGGGCACAGGGCGGCCATGTAGTTGGTATCAAGTCAAATCCTAGATTGGTGGAGAGCAGGTTTAATCTTGGTGCAGCAAGTGCTGCCCAGGCAGACCTGACCTTAAGGAAGGTGACAGATGGGTCCTTCACCTGAGTTTTTCAGAAAATATTTCTCAGCTCCACACAGTTTTTCTTTTCATCTAATTGAACAGTCAGAGGCAAGACACGAGATTTAAGTTTGGTTTTGTTTTATGTAATTTTGATAATTCAGAAAAATGCTCACTTGTCTTTGTTAAGGACTAGACAATGTTTTTTTTTTTCTTTCTGACTTTGAGAACTGTGTTAATAAGCAAGACTCACAGAATTTGCTATGAAGTTTGCACTAAAAGACTGAAAAAGTCATCAACATTTAAAGAACACCTGGCCAGTAAGTTACTTCTCATCTTGGTCCTAGGGGTTCCTCCATTCCAAATTCCTTCATTAAGTTCATTGTTTTCCCTTCAGGAGTAACCTCCTTCCCAAGTTCTCTTTTTGGACACACAAGCTCCAAAAATGAAAGTTCCAAATAGAAAAAAATTCTTATTGTCTCAGAGCATGTTGTTGCCTTTGTTATCTTTGAATCAGGAAGTAGACTGTTGCTTTCAAATACCATGGTGATCATCAAAGTCAATTAGGTGATTTGAGCCCTTTGGCCCCTATTTTGAAGCTTTAATCAACAGAGGATCTGGGATCTAGGAGTTGAGTCTAATCTCTCTTTCAGTATGCAGGTTTGAAAGAAGTGTATAGCATGTAAAATATTGGTAAGTAATACAGAATTATTTTATGGATAAATGATTGTTCTAATTGTCATTTCAGTAGTCTAGACATCTTCCTACCTACCCATACTAAAGATCCAACTTGTGTTTATGTGTGGGCTCGAGCACTGCATGTGGTGCTATGGCTTAAACCCAGTGCCAAGACTTGGGGACTTGTGCATGCCAGGGGAATGCTCTACCACTGAGCTATACCCCCAGGCCAAGAATTGTATTTTAATGGAGTATAAATTCTTATACTGCATGGGGGCTGGGGATGTGGCTCAAGCGGTAGCGCGCTCGCCTGGCATGCGTGCGGCCCGGGTTCGATCCTCAGCACCACATACCAACAAAGATGTTGTGTCCGCCGAGAACTAAAAAATAAATATTAAAAATTCTCTCTCTCTCTTTCTCTCTCTCCTCTCTCACTCTCTCTTTAAAAAAAAAATTCTTATACTGCTAACAAATTGGTTAAGCTGCTGCTGTTTTAGTTTCTAAAAAAATCTGTGGCAATTAATGACAACAAACCATATCTGTGTGTATGTGGGTGTGTGTGTACACTTTTATATGCATGCATGTATATGTACTTTATGTGTATGTGTGTACTCACATACAGCATTTTACATATTTGCTTAATCTTCATAAAACCCCATGAGATAGGTGCTATTTTTTATCATCCTCAGTTAGAAGTTGAAGAACAGAGGAGCTGAAAGAAGGCAACCAAGTGGAAGGAACACAGAACTGAGCTTTGCTGCTAGGCTCTGACTCCAAAGTCTGTGCTCTGCACTCAGAGCAGCAAGCTTTTAAGGGTGCAGATACTAAATATTTTAGGTCATATCCTCTCTGAAGCAACTACTCTGCTCTTACAGCCCACAAGTATCTGGGGATGGTACATAAATGAAAAATGTGGCTGCATTCATTTTTCCCCATCCATTTAAAAATGTAAATAACATTCTTAGCTTCCAGGTGTACAAAAAGAAGAGGTAGCTCAGAGTTGGCTGTCAAGCAATAGTTTGCCAACCACTGTAGGAAAATGGCTTATGACTCGGGGGATACAGCACTTTAGCAAATGATTTGCTGACTTTAAGATAAAGCCTATGAGTAGCTGTGTCTGAGTCACCCTGAGGAACGGTAACCTCCCTGGGGTGGGGGTCTTACGAACAGAGTGGCTACTTCAGACCTCTTCCCCATTGTGCAGTAGGATAATCAAGAGGAACACTGTTATACTGTGTCTTGTGTCTTGCCCTATGCAGTAGTAGCCAGGGGGCATGTAAAATGACAAAGCTGAATGCCAGGCTATCTTTACATCCTTGTTCATGGTATATGGGTTCTTTTACTCATAGGCTGAATATTACAGAAACTAAACAATTCAGGAAAGAATAAAGAATAAACACTCAATAGTAACTCTTAGAAAATACAGATGCAACTTTCTTTTATAGTTTTAGTATTCATTCCAATAGAAGGTGTGGAGGTTCAGTGAAAGAAAAAGTTCCTGGTATGTGCCAAGAGTTTTTTACTACATGCTTCCTTATTACATCTAAACAACCTCACCTTCTAAATAATTGTGTTTTATAGATTAGGAAATTGAGGCATAAGTAACTTTCCCAAGGTCACATGCCAGTTTTTGATTCTTGATCTATAAGTCTAAAGCACAGGTGTTTTGAAGTAAAAACAATATACAAAGACACTGAACAAAGCTTGAATTTCTTTCCCTTAATTATATTGCTTGCTGAGAAATTAGGGCAAAGGAGAGGCTACAGAAAAAGTCTTAAAGATAGGTAACCTCTTACAGAGGTTGTGTTCTAGAAGCTGGTTGTTATGGGCTGTGTTCTCCCATAAAAGTCATTTGGTTATGGTTCCCAGGCAAGCCTTTGCAGCCTCCTCAAAGCCCTCATTGCTCTTCTGTAGAAGCCTGGTCCTGGATCAGGACAGAGAGGAGTAGGGAGGACTTGGGGCTGGTGTCCCTCCCATCTTCATCCCCATCTCAGTCCCTCGTCCTACCAGTGTTGATAGTGTTGATGTCACAAGGTCAGCACAGTATCAGCAGTGCAGTGAGACCAGGGGGGAGGGTCTGGAAAGGGGACCCAGTCTCCATCACTGGATTAGCATGACTGGATTAGCATGCGTGGGTGACTTGGAGGAGGAACAAAAACAGAAGTTTCAAATTACACCTCTGGGAAGGAAGAATGACCGCCATGACTCCAGGAACTTGGGTGGAGTAGGTATTTCTAAAAAGTCAGAGCTATAAAAGTTTATATAAGTCAGCTATATATAAATTAGGAATAAATTGGGATTTTTTCTCTCTCTCTCTTTTTTTTTTTAAAGCAGCACTGTGATTCAAACCCAGGGCTTAAACATGCTAGGTGAGTGTTCTACTACTGAGTCGCGGTCCCTGGAAATTTCTTAATTAAGAGTAAGGTATTTCTTGGGAGACGATGTAGCTCAGTGGTAAAATATACTTGCTTAGCATGTTAGAAGTCCCATCATTAAAAAATAAAAATAAAAAGTTTAGATTTTTAAAAATTCATCTATTTTTACCCTCAGAAAGTTACTTGCCTGTTTTCATAGAGTGGGAAGTGATAGGAAAGCTGAGGAAGATACCTGGGCAAGTTGATTACCATTTCTGTTTTTTGTCTGAGAAGCCACAAATTGTGATATTACTATTTTAGTAAACAAGGATCAGGTAAGCAAAATTTTAATGCTGTGTTCAAAACTGGTTTATTACATGCCAAAAAGCAATTGTTGCCAGGCGCGGTGGGGTTCACCTGTAATCCCAGTGGCTTGGGAAGCTGAGGCAGGAGGATTGAAAGTTCAAAGCCAATCTTAGCAACTTATTGAGGCACTTAGCAACTCAGCCAGACCATGTCTCTAAACAAAATATTAAAAAAGGCCTGGGGATGTGGCTCAGTGATTAAGTAGCCCTGGGTTCAAACTTCAGTTCCAAAAAAAAAAAAAAAAAGCAGTTGTTTGTCAAATATCTAAGGTTCTCGGTAAAACAATCAATCTTTCTAAATCTAAAAGCATATTATCAGAAGAACTAGATATATTTAAGATTTAATTGCATTACATGTTTTGTTGAATTTGCTGAATTATTGTTCTGTGAAGGAAACTGTACTGTTTCCATTTTATCAAAATGGGGAATGGGTGGGTAACTTAATAAATTACATCTAAGAGCAAGAGTCAAAAGGGAGGCTTTTCTTTGGAAAATGAAAGTAATTTGAGGGGAACTGACTTCTGTTGGAAGCTTTCTATTCCATGAGCCTGTACTAATTTTCTCGGTGGGGAAAACCACTCACCATTCCTGTATTCCCTTGAAGGCTGAGAACACATTTTTTTTTCATTCTTAATTAATTTCCTTTACCATGATTATTAATTTCTAGGCTTCTCTATTAAATTTTGGCCACCCTCACAAAGCATTTAGAAAATATTTTTATAAAAATAAACTTTACAGATATCTCTAATCTGAAAAAAATGGGTCATTAGAATTATGTAGATTAAGAACTTTCCTATTTTGATTGACAGAAC